TAATAATAATAATAATAATAATAATAATAATAATAATAATAATAATAATAAAGTTTCTTTCAACATGTAAAAAAAAGTGAAGGAAACAACGGGTCCAATAATGGGAGAAGATGGCAAGGAAGTAACAGGCAGTAGAGAGAAAGCAGAGCTGCTGAATCCATTCTTTGCATCTGTCTTCATAGAAAGTTTGAAAAATGGGTCAATAACTCAATGTCTCACTTAGCAACAGAAATTTTGGGCTCAATTGTCATATGGTGAGGACTACCTGTATCTGTCTGGATTTGCCCCTCCCTCCTTCCCTCTGATGCCCCAGGGAGAAGGGGGAGCCAGTAGCATCCTGCATCACTCTTGCTTCTTCAGGCCCCGGGGAGCTCCCAGAAGGGCCACCCCGTGGCCCCCCAGCAAGAGAACAATTGGGCCACGAAAAGCAGCACACACACACACTAACCCCTGCCTCTGCATTGGCCAGAAAGAAACCAAACTCTGGGTTCAGCTTCCTTGGGGCCATTGAGGGCCATAGCTAGAAATAGGGGGATATTCTCCAGGTCAGCCTTTGTAACCCGCAGGATTTTGTGAGAAGGAAAATCCAGCTCTGCTGGAAGCATGAAAGCTCCGGGGTCTTTTCCACCAGCCTTCGCCAGCATAGAGATGCCTCTTTCCCTGCAGCTGAAGCTTTTTGGTGGCTGATCCTGATGCCTGGTGGGGCCTCCATCTCTCACCCTTTAGAAGTTCGGCCTTTGGAGTTGGACTAAAACCATATCATTTGATGATTGCATTTTATTTTTTATTTTTAGCACTAGTTTAAAGGGCATTGAAAAAGTTATATGGAAAAAAGGAAATTACATGTTGTTGCTAGTCAATAAGTTGACTTTCAGCTCTGAAAATCCTGCCCTGGAGCTCTTTGGGCATGGCCCCAAAAGTGGACAATTTGCCCCTTCCAGGGCTATGGAAATGCATGGACAAAACGGCCTCTTCTGTTTGATCATTCTTTTGATCTTTGTCTCATCTCCTCTTCTCCTCCTTGAATGGCCAATGTAGGAGCAATCTTGTAATGCTGAGAACTTAACATTATTCTCTCTTTTAAACCAATCACAAATCTAGAATAGCTGGATTAGGAAGCAAAGAACATTATTTGGAGAATGAGAGTTTACTAGGTATTAAACTTGGGTTGCACAGTTGCTGAGGAAGAAATACGGGCCAGCCTATCTATTGGCACGTCAAGGACTGGAATTCCAAAACTATGCAGGCCCAGGTCAAAGATTAGTTAATAAAATGTATAATTGCTTTTAATTGTAATGTACAATTAAATATATTTAAATAAGATGACTTCCCTTTTTGTCACTTAAAAATAAAAATTAATTTATGGAGGGGTGTACAGCCACACTCTTAATATATGTGGTACTGATATTCCATGCTTACAATTTTATATAGTTTTAATTATGCTACATATTGTCGGACACATGGATTAATGGGTTGTGATAAGAAGCCAACTGCTGTCTATTCCTCCAGAAGCAGAAACATTTTTCCCTCAGGGCTCCTGGGAGCGAAGCCCCCAAAGGGGCCATTTGCCTTTAGGGGGCAGCATGGGAGGCTTGCTGGGGTCTCTCCTGGGAACTTTTGACCAGGAGAGCCAGAAATGTTTCTGGGGAGAAGCTGTGAGCTTCCACTGGCAGCGCCTCCGCACTCAAGAGCCGTGTATAATTATTGGGAGCGTGTGCTGAGATGGTTTCATTTGTTTCATTACTA